ACAGTAAAATATCATCTTCCAAAAAACTTAATATATAATATATAATATATATATAAGTTGTTTTATGCTGATTGTGCATGTTGTTTGCCGTTAGCTGTAATTGTAATCTACAAAAATACTTTTTGCTATCTGTTAATTTGCGCTTAAGTGGCAAACTGTACCACAGTAGTTTCAATTTCAAGCCAAATGCGTGCTGTATAGGCTTTGCATCGGCTGAGTCCAAATGTTTTATCTGCTGCATTCGACAGTTAATCATCAAATCCTTCTGTCCACCCTCTCATCACTGGGCATCACGGGAACTGCACTCCACTGGTTTGAGTCTTACCTCACAGGTAGGTCCTTCAGGGTGTCTTTGGGAGGAGAGGGATCTAAATCACATCAACTGGTCACTGGGGTTCCTCAAGGATCAGTTCTTGGGCCCCTCCTCTTTTCTATACACACTACATCACCGGTACCCATCATTCAGGCACATGGCTTTCCGTACCATTGCTATACTGCTGACATGCAGCGCTACCTCTCATTTCAACCAGTGGATGAATCTCAGCATGGATGAGAGAACATCACCCACAGCTCAAACTGGCAAAGACAGAGCTTCTCATCTTCCCAGCCACCCCATCAGTACAGGATTACCATCCAACTGGGCTCATCAACAATAATCCCATTGAGTTTGGCCAGGAATCTTGGAATGATCCTTGATGATCAGCTGACCTTTAAAGATCACGTTGCAAAAACAGCACGATCATGCACTATAACCTCAGGAAGATCAGACCCTTGCTAACAGCATGCAACACAGCTTCTCGTCCAGGCTCATGTCATTTCTAGGCTGGACTATTGCAATGCTCATCTGGCTGGACTTCCAGCATGTGCAATCAGACCTCTGCCAATGATTCAGAATGCAGCAGCACGTCTTGTTATGTCACACCGCTTCTCATCTCTCTGCACTGGCTTCCAGTTGCGGCTCGCATCAAGTTGAAGACATTGGTGCTTGCCTACAGAACAGCCACAGGCTCCGCACCCTCCTACCTCCGCTCTCTCTTATACATCTACACCCCCTCCAGAAGCCTGCGGTCGTGGTCCCATAACAGAGAGGCACAAAATCACTCTCCAGGACGTTTTCTTTCACCGTACCCTGTTGGTGGAATGACCTACCTAACTCCATCCAAACAGCCGAATCCCTTACAATCTTCAAGAAACAACTGAAAACTCATCTCTTCCGTGAACATCTAACTAGATCCTCCTAAAAAAATAAAAAATAAAATCTTTGCCTTCACTTTTTCTATTCTATTTTCAGTGTTGGGGAAAGTTACTTTTAAAAGTAATGCGTTACAATATTGCGTTATTACATTAAAAAAAGTAACTAATTACGTTACTTAGTTACTTTTTATGGAAAGTAATGCGCTACGTTACTTTTGCGTTACTTTTTAAATCTGGACAGGGCTTGCTTGTTTGTTTTTAAAATAAAAAAGTTATATTTTTGGCAAATATAAAAGCCTTTTCACACCAAAAGTGAAATGAATAAGCCTCAGGCTGAAGGGAAAGTACATTTACGTCCGTACAGTCGAATGCAGAAGAAGACATTTCAACACAGTTGCATTATTTTTATTCATTTTGAGGAATACTGAATCTGTGTTTTTTTTTTTTTTTTTTGTGAGTGAGATGAATTAATGCATATTCATATTTATTTTAGAACTTCAGTAACATCTGATTTCTCTCAATATGGGGACAGGAGAGCAATAAAGTAACTTGCATTACCTATTTGAAAAAGTAACTCAGATATTTTCTTGTAAATTAAAAAGTAATGCGTTACTTTACTAGTTACTTGAAAAAAGTAATCTGATTACGTAACTCGCGTTACTTGTAATGTGTTACCCCCAACACTGTCTATTTTTATCCTTTATCCCTTCTTGTCCCAGCTTTTACTATTTTGAAGACTGAAACTTTGTGTAGCGGGCACTTCTCGTGTTAATTGCCGTCTTATAATAAATCGCTTGTTGTATTCCTCAACTGTAAGTCGCTTTGGATAAAAGCGTCTGCCAAATGAAATGCAACTGTAAATATTGAAAATGTATATTTTACAATTTCTTTGAAATGGCAGAAAGACGGGACAGACATTTGATTAACACCTTCATAATAATTAAACATAATAGTTTACCAGTTTCCAAACCTGCATGATTTTCTTTTTTTTTCTTTCTAAAAATGTGTGTCGTTGTAAAGAAGAAGAAAGAAAGGATTATACATAATTCAGAGACTTAATTCAGAGATGCATTGACAGGAAGAAAACCTGTCAGTTTTTCTTTCTTTTTACTTTTCCTTGTTCTCGAGAAATATAAATAAAATGCAATCATTTGTAAATGCCTCTGACTGGTTCCTCGTCCATCTATTTATTGCATCAGTCTGAAATGAGAAAACTGTGAAATACAGTTTAATTTGAATAATGAACTTGTGGTTTAATATGCAACAAAGAGCTGTTTGTATATATATATATATATATATTTGAAGCTGTTATCACGTAAGTGTGTATTAAATAAAATACTGTCTAAATGTGCTGCTGCTGCTGTAGTGTCCTCGAGGGCCCATGATGGCTGGGTCGCCGCTGTGGGCGGTGGATGTGTACCGGCGGGTGTTCAGTCTGTCGGCCGCGAGAGGGCCCTGGAGGCCCGCAGCGGATATCCTGCTGGAGCTCAAGCGGGTGACGGGCTCTCAACACTGCTGCTGGGGCATCGGCTGCCACCATCAGCTTTATCTCCATGTGTATGCCAGTCAAGTGCCTGTACGCCATCAGGAAGAGACCTACGAAAACCAGGTGTGTTGGAAACATTTTTTTTTAAATCAAAATTTCTATTAAACTGTGATTTATTTGCATGATATAAGATACTGTACCTGTGTATTTGCAAAGCACGTGCAATGGTAAAAAAAGTTTAAGTTAAACTGTAATACATAAAACGCACTTTGCAAATTAAATAAACTGGTAATATTCACAAATAACAATAGCACGCTATCAAATCAAATAGCAAAGCAGAGTATACAGAAACAATGAAAACCAATATTTATATATATAAATTATATAGTGTATATATTGGCCAGAGGTTTGGAATAATTAAGATGTTTTAATGTTTTTGAAAGAAGTCTCCTGTGCACACAAAGGCTTCATTTATTTGATCAAAATGACAGTAAAAACAGTAATATTGTGAAATATTACTACAAATTAAAATGAACTGTTTTATATTTGAATATATTGTAAGTTGTCATTTATTTCTGTGATGTTAAAGCTGTATTTTCAGCATCATTACTCCAGTCTTCAGTGTCACGTGATCTTTCAGATATCAATCTGATTTGCTGCTCAAGAAAAATTTCTTATTATTATCAATGTTGAAAACAGATGTGCTGCTTCAGTTTTTTTTCCAGAATTCTTTGTTGAATAGAAAGTTCAAAAGAACAGCATTTATTTGAAATAGAATTCTTTTGTAAATTATAGTAAGTCTTTACTATCACTTTTGGTAAATGTAATTTCCTTGCTCTATAAAAGTATTAATTGAAAATATGTTGTAAAAACCTTTGAAAGTCTGTGTATATTTATTTACTAAAGATTACAGTTAAATGTAGTTAAAGGGGTCATATGATGTTGCTAAAATGAACATTATTTTGTGTATTCGGTGTAATGAAATGCGGTTTAAGGTTAAAAAAGAACAGCATTTATTTGAAATAGAATTCTTTTGTAACATTATAGATGTCTCTTTTGACCAATTTAATGCATCCTTGCTGCATAATAGTATTAATTATTTTATCTATATATGTATATTTTTTTAAATCATACTTACTTACCCCAAGCTTTTGAATAGTAGTCTATATTTGTGTCCTTGCAGCACAAAAGCAGTCTTAAGTCGCTGGGGTATATTTGTCATTGCTGTTGTCTTCTAATTTTCATTTAACTTTTTTTAAGTTTAAGTTTTGCCATCTAATGTTTATGCTATTTTATCTCCGCTTTATGCAATTAACAAAAATTAACAGTAGCAGCACTGACTTGTGGTTGCATTACAGACTTGTGACCACCAGAGCGCACTGCTGTTCTGTGATGTCTGCTTTATATTTTGAGCTCCTTGTGGGTTAACCACTTGCTCACAAGAATGTGAACAATTTTCCAGCCGAGTGGTTAATTTAAACACACACAGAATGTTTTGTCATTTTTATCATGTGTTGAGAAACTCTTCATGACGACACACAGATCTGAGGTGTGTGTGTATCTCTACAC